GGACAGCACATACCCTGGGCCAATGTAATTTTTAAAGTGTTCACTAGTAAGTTTTATATTTGAACAAAAATTAATTCTAGTGAAAAGATCTCTTTCTCTTATTTACTTCAAGTGAAATAAAAATATTTAATTTTAGAGAGGAAAATTATTTTACTACATTGAAATGACTGAATCATAGAGTACAAACATAACCCAACTATCTGGAAATACCTAGAAACCTGATTTTATATCCTCAGGTATTTAATTTCTGAATTAATAACAATAGATTTTTTTTTTCAGTGCTGGGGATTGAACCCAGGCCTCAAACATGCTATGAAAGTGCTCTACCACTGACCACGTTCCCCAGCCCCATTTTTTATCCCTTTGATGCCTTAGGAAAAAATACTGCTTCTTTCCTCTTAACACTGGCAGAAGCAGGGACATTAAGAAATTTTATTTCTTTAAATATATATCCAAAGGAGAGAGATTCCTCCCTCAAGAGGCATTTATGCTTTTTAAACAAGTAAATGAAATATAATTTCAAGTAGCAATGTTTAATTTAGCATTTCTAACATACCAATTGGCACTTATACAACAGATTTAACCTTTAAAGTAAAAATAATTCATTGAATCACAAAAGATCAGCAGCCAAAAGTTAAAAGTAAATGACTAACTTTTACAGATAAATGTTCTGGCCAAGAAATTTTAAGTTAATTTAAGAAGCAACTGATAAAGCATTCCTCACACTTCTCAGGAAAAACTCACTTGACGAAAACCTTCAATATGTGAAAATCTCCTAAAAGTACGCAAAATAGTGTGATAACCTTAAGGACTAAAGAAAACTCAAGATTAAGGACTACTGTCAGAAACTGAAAGACTTGAAAATACACAATATCCATTGTAAAACACACAACTTCTCTTCTCAAAGGTTTGTGTAATTGAAAAAAATAATAAAGCTTTGGATTTTTTCACACAGGATGCTATAGTTTGGATACTGAATGTCCCCAGAGGTCTATGTGTTGAAAGTTGGTCCCCAGGGTGGTGCCATCAGGAGGTGCGTGGAACTTGAGAAGGTGGGGCCTAGTGGGAGGTCCCAGGTCATAAGGGGCATGCCCTCGAGGAGGACTGTGGGACCTCAGGCCTTTCCTCTTCCTTTTTTGTCTCCTGTTACACACTCCCCCCCAATGCCATCTGGTAGAGCCACCACAGGCCCAAAGCAATGAGTCTGCCCAATCTTTGACTGGAACCTCCAAAACTGAGACCAAATAATCCTTTTTCTCTTTTTAAGTTCGTTACCTCAGGTACTTTATATTATACTGAGAGAAGGCTGTCTTAATTCACGTAAGTACTGGTATTAGGTAAACATCTGGATTTTGTTTTATTTTGGTTTGGTTTGGTTTTGGTACTGGGGA